ATAGACATACTCATTTTTTCTTTTTTTTTTTCGCTCCTTATATCTAGTCAGACACAATCCTTCAACTTATTTTTTGGAACAACACTGTTTCTTCCTTGCTCACCTTCCTCATTTGCTCTGCTTCCATACAGTCTCCATGCTTATCTGCTGGACATCCTCCAAATAGCCCTATCTCAGGCTAAGTCCTCCCCTATCCAACCCACCTCTTTCCTCCAATTTCAGCTATATATACCTTAAATATTCCTTTCCCCACATTGTATTTCTACTTAAAAATCTTCAGTGAGGCTTGATATTCTATCACATTACTCCGCCATCATTATATCAAAAAGTATTGAAGGTCAGAGAAGTGTCCTCATATCTGCATTCTCCTGTGTCTAGTACAGTGTCTGACACATACTAGATGTGGAACATACATTTAATTACAGTAAAATTTCAAAAAAAAATGTTTTAGCTTTCAAGACTTACGTCTAAACATTTCTTAAAGCTGCCTGGTTTATTTATTTCAGTCCAAGCAAGACTGATTTCACCTTCTTTTGTCCTCCTACAATATTACTGTAGCAAAGAAGAGAACATTTAGTTTGCTATTTTTCATGACCTGCTGCTGTTGAAATATGATTCTCAATTATTAGATTATAAGTAACACTACTGAGCATACTACTGAGAAAATAGTAGCCACACTCCCACAACTACATAGATAATTGTTTATTGCTTGTTGGAAACAATTCCATAATCTGTCTTTATCAAATTACACCATGATGCATAATGGATATTTCGGGGCTTGCAGACTCTTCTATAATATACCTCTTTTATAGTATAATGTAATCATTAATACAAATAATATGAGGACTGTTGCAAGACTATAGGAGGAGCCTCTGAAGTTAATGAAGTTTCCTGTTATCAGCCATGAATCTTACAACAGACCTTTCAGCCAAGACATATGAGAAAGAAAAAGAAGCAGAACTAGACAGATGATGTATCAAATTGTATTAATTTGTAAGTAATGAATCCTTCACTTTCAAATTGGTCTTTGCCTCCAGATGATCCCTGAACACTCATTTACTCTCAATTTTTAAGCAAGATACTGGATTAAAGCAAGGTACTACTTTCAACTCTTTGTAGAGGTCCATCAGTGCAGCAATTTCTTTAGATTTAAATTCATTTGGATATGACATGCTAATATTCTTGAATTATGACATTTTGACCAACCATCTCCACTCTTGAATTTGAAACCCAGAGGAGTTCTGTCCATAAATCCCCAGCATTCCTCAGAAACAGTATCAATTCTGTGAACAATCAAGCCTTTAAAAATATGTCCACACATTATTTTATTTCTTCTTATATTTTATAAGTAAAGAAGTGAAAGCTTTTATTATTGCTGTCCAGTTACATAGAAATGGGATACTGCTCTGTAACAGAAATCATCACACTAACGCAGAGGAGTTGAAAGTCAAGCAACTTTGGTCTAGGCTGAACTGCATTACCTCTTGACCTTGTAAACATTTCCATAGGAGGTAGAACATATGCATTTGACTTTTTTGTCAAATAAGGGATAGTAAACAATGATTCTGAGATCCCAATAAATTAAGGGTATTGTAAAGGCATTAAATAAACTTTTCTCTCATTTAGAAACCATACATGAAACAGCACGCAATTCTTCAATAAATTAGAAAGCAAAATATTAAATTGTTATAGTTGAAATGTTTGCATCTTCAAATCTTCACTGATTCCATTTGATAATGTTTGAAACTTTGATTAATAATGAGATCACATTTTAAGCAATTTGTGTGCACCACAAACTCTGCAAATATTTCCTTTCTTTATGGAGTTGTCCATGTTTTGGACAGTGACTTGAAACAAATGTTCTCTTTCTGCACAGTCCATTTTCTTTACTCTCAGGGTGGTCTGAGTGAGTAACTATTTGGGCAGTAGAAATTTGCAAAGTTTCAACCCCTTCCCAAAATTGTTGGTTTAAGTCCCTCCAGCTCCAGCTGCTGTTCCCATGAACACAGTGTTGATAGGTGGCAAAGAAGACACCATTTCTCTACCATTTGCACCATGGGAATCCAGAGTTTCTTGAGTTGGATACTGATTAGAAGTTCCATACATACACTGGGAAGAGGAAGGAATTGGAGTTTGCAAGCTGGATGCTGAAACAGAAAATATAATTAACAATTGAAAATTGACATTTTCTTTTCTGTATTAAATTTCAATGTTTATGACTTGTCAGAAAATCCTCATCTTTTCTTCTGTTTTTCCAACTTAGTATTCTCCTGTGGTGGTGGTGGTTGTATGCTGTTGAGTCTATTCCAACTCATAGCAAACCTATATAACAGAATACCCAAAGGGGTCCTAGGCTGTAATCTTCTAGAGAGCCAATTGCCAGATCTTTTCTCCCACGGAGCTACTGGGTGTGTTTGAATTGCTAACAATTATTATTTCTTCTACACATTTCAGAAACAAAATTCACTTTCAGCTTAAATTCAGATAGCTCTACCGCCAAAATATTTCCCCTACCTACCATCCCTTTCCATCTGTACCCATACAATCTTACTCCAAACTAATATCTTCTCCCACTTGGGTGAAAACATGAGCCTCCTAACTAGTCCCATCGCCCTCATCTCTTCCCCCACCCTTCACCTTCCAGAGAGCAGCCAGAATTATCTTGTAAAAGTGTAAATGAGATTGTCACTCTTCTGATCACACATTACAATGGCTTCCCGTTACTCTTAGAACAAAATCCAAACCCCTTGCCGAGGTCCCTAACACTCTTGTGAATTGTTCTCTGCCTGTCTGATTTATTTTGCTCCACTCTCTCCTTCATTCACTGTGCTCAACTCACACTAGCCTTCTTCTGCCTATGCACTTTCCAAGCATGTCTCCATTTCAAATGCTGTGCAGTTGTGTCTTTTCTGTTTAGAACTCCACCATCAGACTTTCACATGATTATCTCATTTTTACCACTCACCTTTCAACTCAAATGTTTCTGCCATAGGATTCCTTTCCCAATGACCCTACCTATAGCTACTGCTCCACCACTTTCTGGAAATTCACCCTATTTAATCATCTTCAGAGTACCTGAAACTATCTTTTCAATGTATTTGTTTACAAATGAATTGCCTTGCTATACCCTTAAACCATAACCAAACCCACTGCCATCGAGTCGATTCCAATTCTGATTCATAGCAGCTCCCTTTGAGTTTCTGAGATAAATCTTTACGGAAGTATACGGTCCAGTCTTCCTTCCACAGAGTGGCTGGTGGGTTTGAACTGTGAACCTTTTGGTTAGTAGTCAAATGCCTTAGGCACTACCCCACCAGAGCTCCTTTGTTCTACCCCTACTGGAATGTAAACTTCTCACAGGCAAGAACTCTGTTCTATTTACCACTATATCCTCCTCATAAGTTAGTTCTCAAAAAAAAAAAAAAAAAGACTGTCTCTCTAAGCCTACATTTACTCTATTTATGGCTATGTCCATTCATTGCTGTTTTTCTCATTCTTCTATCACCTTCTCTGTCATGAAGAACCAAGCCTTATAACTAAGATAATCTATAAGAGCCCCAGTTGCCATGAAGTCCACTCTGCTTCATGGGGTCTCCACGAAGGAGAACTGTCAAAATTAAATTAAATTAAATTAATCCATGTGCTCCATGGATTTTAATGGCTGATTTTTCATAAGTAGATCACCAGGCCTTTCTTGTTAGGTGCCTCCAGGGGTATTTGAACTTCCTAACTTTTGGTTAGCAGCTGAGTCCATCACCTGTTTGCACCATCCAGGGACTCCAGGAAATCTATGTTGTTATTGTTGTTGTTATGTGCTGTCGAGTCGGCCCTGACTCATAGCAACCCCTCCTTGGGTTTCCGAGGCAGTATCACTACAGAAGTAGATTGCCCAACCTTCCTTCCGAGGAGTGGCTGGTGGGTTTGAACCGCCAGCCTTCTGGTTAGCAGTCAAGTGCTTTAGGCACTATGCTACCAGAGCTCCTAGGAAATCTATAGTAGGTCCCAATTGCATTTTCACTATTAACCCACTTACTCTACTTCATATTTTCACCCGGAAGCCTCCTTTGCAATTTTTTTACAAGCCAGTTCTGACAACTGAAACTTAGAATCCACTCTACACTCAATCTATGTTCCATCAAAGCTTCCACTATCTCTATGAGTAAATAGAACTAATAGTAACAATAGCAGCACAGAACACTTTAGTTTCACCCTGAGGAAACTTCCTGAAGTGGAATTTTCTGCTTCATTAGAGTAACCTAGAAGCAATGACTATTTGCAGATAGCGGGAGATGGGCTGCTAGATTCTGCTCAGGGAGCATCTGTGATAGTCACAGGAAGGAAGAATTGCTTCCTGTTGAATTATTGAAAAGACACACTGAGTGAAAAGAGATGGAATTTATCTCATTTTCCCTTATGCTTCAGTTGAGCGTCAGTGTCCTTTATCTATGGTAGTCAGAAGCCAATTCCAGTGGAAGATTTCAACTACCTCACATAAACATTAACACTCTACCTTCATGTTTACATGAATATACTTAGGTGATAACTTAGTAATTTTTGAGACTAAAGCTACACATACGTTTTTAACCTTTTTATAACTCACCAATTTATTGGCTTCCTACTATTGATAGACACTTTGATGGATGCTGCTGATGTGTCTAGTACAAGTTGCAGAATTTTTTTCTACTTGTGAAAGGACAGCAACCTGATTGGAAGAAAATGCTAGGGGACTTCTTGGCAAGCACACTGTTTTGCTCATTTTTTACTTAAGTTTTACAGAACAATAAAAATAGCAACATTTTCTAAAGAAGAGTCTACTCGTACATTACATAAGATTAAGAAAATTCTAGTAGCATCCATGACAGGACAAATTGTTCTTTAAAAAGTTTTGAATGGCTTTAGGTACTGATGGGGACTATGGGATCCAAAGACACATCTTGGCACTGTCCCTGGGTCCCACACTGAACAGAAGGGAGTGAGAGAAAGTCAGAAATACTGCCCTGGTAAAGCTTTTGGAGTGCATTTGACAGGTTTATTAATTTTTGAAAATATAACAGATTCCAGCTAGTCATTTTAGAAGAATAGTAGATCCAGTAATAGGTTGTACAATGACATATACTGAGAGATAGTAAGACTGTTAGCATGAAAGGCTTGGCAATCTACTTCTGAGAATCAGCCAGTATAAACGCAGTGAATCATAATGGTCTGATTCACAACTGATCAGGTGGGTGGTGGTGGACCCAGCAGTGTTTTCATTTCATCACTCAGAGAATGGTCATGAGTTGTGGGCTGACTCAAGGGCAGGTAACAATAACAACAGTGACTATTTCCACTGTATATTCAGATACAAAAAATTTAACTTCAGATACAAAGTGATAAACAAACCATGGCAACATGAATGCCCAGACCAGTTCACCTCAACACTTCTCTCTCCAGAGTAATGCTGCATATCTGAGCTTAATGACTTTTTAAAAATGTTTTCATGAACTCCGCCTAAGGCACCTGACTGCTAACCATAAGGCTGGAGGTTCAAACCCACCACTACCAACCACTCCTCGGAAGGAAAGTTGGGCAATCTACTTCTGTAGTGATACTGCCTTGGAAACCCAAGGAGGGGTCGCTATGAGCCGGGTCCAACTCAACAGCACATAACAACAACAACAACTAAAATAATTTACCCACTACTGGAGTCCGACAAGCCACTGAAGGTGATGTGTCTGCGTAAAATGAGCTGGTCTGCTTTCGGCTACTGTCATCTAAAATGTTGAGTGGATCGTGGATGTCACTGTAGGGAGGCAGTGAGCGAACACTGCTGATGACGGAAACATGCTGATTCACCATTGATCCAAGTCTGTGAGACTCTGGGTAGTTTATATTGCTTCCATAGTATCCTATAACAGAAAGCATTGAGAATGTACTGTTAACTCGTTGTAAAGAACATACAAGGGAGGGAAAAAGGGTCAAGGTAATGAGGAGAGCCTTAAAGATATCAAACTGTAAATATTACACGTGTATCTACATTTATTATAGAGTTGACCTTGTGTTTGTATAAAGATATGGTTCGCCATGCTGGTTTAAAAAAAAAATCAGAGGAGCTGTTCTAGTATCAATTTTGAGATACAGATTATGCCTCTCTCATATTTCCCTTATCTAAATTAGCAAGAGCTGCCTACGAAGGAAAATCGCCTCTGACAGAGATTGCAGTACTCGTCAAACCCATTTGCATTACAGATCCATGACGCTGGGGGAAAGGAGAGAGGCATCAGAGCGCTCTACACACAGAGCCTACTTCGGTGGTTGAAGGAGTCGGGTCTTCACAGCCTCCCTTAACTTCAAGTATCTTATTGGCCTAACAAGGGGCACTGTTTGGGTCCTGATCTTTAAAATTTGCTTTTAGTTCTCTGGAAAGAGCATTATTCATGAAAAATTTTTTCAACAGACATAATTTTTTCTTTTGGACTTGGTCTCAGGCATATGGTTTGATACAGGATTTTTTCACTTTTTGGTGGCATTTAGAGGGGCATCTTCAATAAAGCCACAAGAATTAGGGAATGTGTTTCTATGTAGCAAAAATCAGCTGCAAATATCTAGATTCCATGATCTTTAGAAGTCTTACATGGGATGTCATGCTACTCAGCAGGGGTGGATTTCAATGTCTAATTTTGCCTTACTACCATCTCAAAAGCCAGGAAAATTGCTTCAAAAATGTCAATACCATTTGGTGAATTAGGAGGCAATGCTGCTCCTTGGCAGCTAGCAGCTCCTGCATTGCTCAGGAAATTGAAACTTCCTGTATTTAGAAACTGCATACTGTGTGAATCTTGGGCATGTGATGATGACCCATAAGTGGACGGTGGCCGGGAACTATATGGAGACCCAGCACAGCTGCCACTGAAGAAGTCTCTAGAAAGCTGCTGTTCACTCCAGGCCATACATCGACCATGCTCGGTGCGGTGAGGATAGAGTCCTGATGGGCCATGGGTCTGTGCTCTAAATATAGTCTGATAGTTAGAGGTAGTCCCATAAAAGTCATGGTTGACTTGAGGAAGAGTAGGATAACTTGTCTCTGGGTATGTTGGGCAATGTGAAGGGGCTGACAATACTGGGCCCACACTTGGAGGTCTCCCTGCCATCGGCCCCTGGTTAATGACGCTTCCTCGGCTTGCCATGGCTGGCGAAATGGGTGGTGTCATCAGATGACCAGCACTCTGGGAAAGGTCCATTTGACCTGGAAAAAAATTGCCAGAGCATTCACTTAGTGGCCATTCACTCAGTAGTTATTATAGTAGATTTAAAACATGTATTTGAATGAGTTATTAATATATCTTTTTTCCAACTTGTTTCACCCCCATCCTCCAAAAGCAACAGAATGGAGGAACATCAAAAATCTCAGTTTTCAAAATATCCTCACAATATGTGTATATTTTATAATAGTGGACATTTCTGGAGTTTATGACAGTCAAGGAAAAGTCTGTGATGGTTCATGCTCCTACAGGAATGAAAATGGCTAGAGTTCAAGCATGGTGAAGGCAAGGGATCTGATACTCACATTTATCCATAATCTGAATTTAAAACAAAAAACAAAAACTGATGGTTTGATTTTTAGGACAAAAGAAAAAGGCAATACACTTAATCCCTGCCTTACATCAAGGTTCTGTTCCGATGACTTCATTGTTCTTATGTGAGTAGAATATCTCATTTTTTTTTTTAAGTTTTCATTATCCTTGCCTTTTATTATCAGTATCTTCATAAATCTGATCTTTATTTGTCTTTGGAGGTTGACGTGAGAAGTTATGCACCGCAACACTATATGTAGTATATATTACTAATGGTAAAGTATACCACAAGGAAAAAAAATGATGGTTGTTAAGTGTGATTTTTCGTAATTCAAATATGTCATAAGTCAGGGACTACCTGTAATGTCAAAATGACCATGACTTCAAAACAGCCAATTCAAAACATCATGAAAGCACCACTGATGAGCCATGAGCCTTAGGAATGCCATTAACTCTTTGGGCTCCAATTTTCCATTGGTGCAATTAAGGTTCTCAACCATAAGGCTCTTCCAGGTTTAGAAGTCTATGTTCCAGTGAAGTAATGTATATAAACCAACCATTTGCTTTGAGTCAGTTCTAACTAATGGCCACCCTGTGTGTGTCAGAGGAGAAGTGGGCTCCACAGGGCTTTCAGTGGATGATTTTTCAGGAGATCAGCAGGCCTTTCTTCCAAGGCACCTCTCAGTGGAATTGAACCTCCAGCCTTTAAGTTAGCAGCAAAGCATGTTAACCATTTATACCAACCAGAGACTCCAATGTATATAAAAAGACACAAGGCAATAATTAAAGTATTATCTCTTAACTAGCTCAAGACACTAAACAAGGAGACCCTAGGCCAAAGGGGAAAAAGGATTGTAATGGTTATCTTAACATAGCCAAATTCACTTTTTAATGGAGGAGGAATAAAGTCTCTTCAAAGCTCAAAAATAAGTAAGTGATTCATTTCTTTTTAATCTTCCACATTTTAAGGACTTCTTGTAAGCCTGTTCTATTTTCTTCTGCCATTAAATGAAAATAAAATATTATTCACATTTCTAATATAACTTAGGAAAATGTATACTTATGTTAATAATGGTATTACTAAAGGTACTTGACTGCTAACCAGAAGGCTGGAGGCTCAAACCCACCAGCCACTCCTCAGAAGGAAGGTTAGGCAATCTACTTCCGTAGTGATACCACCTTGGAAACCCAAGGAGGGGTTGCTATGAGTCGGGTCCAACTCCACGGCACATAACAACTACAAAGATGTCATGGACAATTGCTGAAATTGTTATAAACCCAGGATAGATAAGCCTTTTAATATTGCAATCCCTGGAAGATACTGGTTCTTTGATACTGGTGGGTTTGAACCTCCAGCCTTCTGGTTAGCAGTCAAGTACCTTTAGTAATACCATTATCTAGAGATAAATAAAGGAACAGGCTCCCCTAAGATTTGTTGCAGAGAAGTGGTTCTCTTGGTTGTTTTGCAGCATACCTGTGAGCGGTAGATTGTCTGCATTCTCAGCTGGGAATGGATGCAGAGCAGAGGTTAAACTTCCAGGCTGACTGGATGACAGAGGAAGGTAGGTTGTTTCCACATAGCTTTCATTCTTCACGGTGTCATTTGTAATTGTGTTCCCTTTATTACGGTTGGCCAGAAAGCATGAACTTGGAGAAGCAGTGAAGGTAGCTTTACTTGCATCTGGAAAGATTTTTTTTTTAATGGAAAAGCTACAATCATTCCCATATTCCTAGTAGATTAGCCCAAATAGAAGAAATTAAAAATGTTTCATGATTATAAAATCAATCTGGAAATTCCTGAGCATTGTTTTCTATGGACAAGAAGGCTGGCAGAACTTTGGTCTTGGCAATGGTGATGGTTTCTGTTAATTGTGTATTTGTGGAAATAGGTGTGTTCTGGGAACACTAAACAATCCACTCTGGAATGAAATGAACAGTCATCAAAATGCAAATCATCGTACCTAAATGGGCATATGCCATTACTTCTCTAATCTGCATAGGTCTTATTTTTAACCATTTATAAAGCAGTATAGGAGCTCTGGTGGCATAGTGCCTAAGGCATTGGACTGCTAATGAGAAGACTGGCAGTTCAAACCCAGCCTCTACTCCTCGGAAGGAAGATTGGGCAATCTACTTCCATAGTGATACTGCCTCGAAAACCCAAGGAAGGGTCGCTATGAGTCGGATCCGACTCAACTGCAGTGAGTTTAGTTTTTTTTTGGAAAACAGTATACCACATGTATTACCTTGAATTATAGTTATTGCTTGCATTATAGTTACTTTTTTAACTGCATCAAAATTCCCAGAAGTTACAAATATCAATTTATATCCTTAAGAATTTTCACAACAGTATTTGGACCACCCTTTACCATCAAATCAGTTATGATTCTTAGTGACCTCATAGGACAGAGTAGAAGTACCCCACAGGATTTCCAAAGCTACAATCTTCATGGAAGCAGATCACCAGATCTTCTTTCCACAGAGTGCTGGTGGATTTCAAACACCACCCTTTCAATTATCAGCCAAGTGCTTAACCACTGCACCACAAGGCCTAATGTACTACAAATAAATGCAGGAAGGAAAAAACAATGCTACAATAGTATTAGCATACTGTAAATAGCAACATGTTTGGGAGGAACTCTGAGATTTTTAGAATCCCACCTAACACATGCACTCACAAATTCTTTGGTTTACACAAAGGTATAGGGATAATAAAACAGATATTTTAAATCACCTGAGTTCTTCATATACTTGTCCAGTAAGTTTTGCAACTCCTGTTCTTTGTCATTATTAAACTGGGTCTCCATGGCCAGGAGAATGTATTCATCAAGAAGCATTCGGATCAAATGGAAAGAACCTTGTTTATGGATCAGAAATGAAAAGAGGACATTGTGAGATGAAAAAAGGGAGAGAAAAAGAGGGACGGAGAATGAGAAAGAAATCTAGTTATCTCTGTGACCATCTCGCAACACTTTACAAGGAGCAACTGAAATAAACAAATACTTGTTGGACTTTAAATGACCTGCTAAGACCAACATGCTTAACTTGAGTCTCTAATCTTTCTGTGTACCGCCTGCCCAGCTCCCTGTGTGTGCTGTCCTGCCAGCTCTTTGGCCACTAATTACATCAAAGGAAAATACGGATGAAAGTGAGACATGCTTTATGCTTTAAGAGGGCACACACTGGAGTGTGATAAGGTTTAACTTGGGGAGAATGAGCCCTACTCTGCTCTATTTCTGTTTACTTTGTACTAAATAATTAGACAATGGCCAAAATGTTCCAGGAAAAAAAAAAAATCAAGTAAGGAGATGTCTTTCTAGCCTGAAACAAAATGCTCTTTGATTTTAAAAAAGCAAAAGAGTAATTTTCACGTGAAAAGATGTCCTGGGAAAAAAAATGTAAACTTGTTTCAACTATTCAACAGATTTTCTAACAAGAGTCTTTATTCATAATAAAGTCAGGCTTCAGTGCTATACAATTTAAATAACTATGCGATGATATTTCAAGTAACAGATTCAACACATACTATTCATCTCTCAATACAAATTCACTGATTCTATTAGTTCTGTTGAAAATAAATAAAAACAATTAAAATAAATGATAATCTATTTTGTAATGTGACAGTTTCTCAAAGTATAACTATTGAATGCTGAGGTATTGCCTATACGTTTAACTTTATGTCTGTAAAATAGTAAGAATCATACAAATTTTAAGGAAAAGAAAGTAGTTATTTTAACATGCTAACTTGACTCAATCTGTTTTACAAGTCCTCCAGATCAAGAAAGATGGCTCAAAAATATGTGAGAGTGTATCTTCTAAGCTGCTCTTTGATTCCTGGAGGGCACTTATATATGGATGCACTGAAAAGATGCAAAAGTTGCTATGTTACCATGAGTAGTGGAAAATAATATCTCAATTATTGCTTATTTGTTTTCTTAATAAAGAAAATTTACCCAGGTACTGATGGAATCCAATGATAATAGCTGCTCTTCATTAACTGTTTACAGGGTTCCAGACAAACTAATTTTATATACATCTCACTAAAGTGATTACATAATCCTACAAGAAGTATATTTTCTCCTTTCTAAAATGAACAGACTAACTTAGGACTGGCCTGGAGCCAGAAAGAAACAGTGTTATGATTTAACCCCACATGTGGTCTGACTCCAAAAGCCATGGTCTACTGGCTCAGTATTCAGATATGGTTTGAGAAGTGACCACCATATATTAAAAAATTCAAATAACAAGTGATATAATTCATTTATGAAGACTTTTATAAAGCACATAGGATACCAAAACTGGATGCATTGTTCAAGGTGAGATTATGCATTACTCGAGCACCAAAAAAGCTCCACTTCAGTAGAAAGTCTTGAGCCCTCTTCTTTAACGATCTTCCATTTTGTTTGCTGGTCTGAAAGTAAAGGGGCAAAATGAAACTAGGAAATCTGTCATCTCATTACTACATGTATCCTAAGTTAGATTAAGATGTAGATAAACTGACAGATGGGCAGATGGCATGCTGTGCTATTTCTTTCATCAAGTAAAATTCTCTGTCCAGCGATACTATGTTTGGCCCCTTTGCTATAATGTTAGGACTAACAGGTCTTTATTCAATATGATTTTGTTACCTGACAGAATTAGACAACAAAATGAAATAATTTATAAAGCAGTTTTACTTTTAATTTTCCTTTGACAGAACTTTAAAAAGAACAGAAGGTGAAGTGTGAAGGAAGGGTAATATGTTTCTGTGAATGATTAACTCCAACTTTGGTTCTGAATGATAGCCTGTTTTCTCTCTAGAAGAAAGCAAGCCCCTAAACTATAACTAGTTTCCTCGATATGGAATTACTAACACCAACTAGTGATGCGCGTATTTGTTTTATTGCCTTGCTTCATGATTGATGACTTGAAGGTTAACTGAACGAGTCCAAGAAACCACGTAAGAAACAAAGAATACTGAATTCTTGGAATTCAGGACTTAAACTGATTAATACCATATTTTCTGTCAGAATTTATGAAAACTCACTTTTAAAAAATATAGATAGATAGATCTTTCCAGTTTCTAAGTTTATCTTTTACTACTGATCTTACTCAGCTATCGCGTAGTGCCTAAGGCATTTGACTACTAACCAGAAGGCTGGCGGTTCAAACCCACTAGCCACTCCTTGGAAGAAAGATTGGGCAATCCACTTCTGTAGTGATACTGCCTCAGAAACCCAAGGAGGGGTCAGATCCGACTTGACAGCAGTGAGTTTAGTTTGATAACTTTACTGACTGATAGTAGGGCATAGTGTTTTGCATCCATCGGTCAAGAAAGGAGGAACAGAATTGAATCTGTGTCAAAAGTTCTCAAATCTTGCCTCTATTCCTGATTTTGGTATTTGGGCTGCTTCATTTGGAGGGCTACAAAAGCTTTGCAAAGACTTTTATATACAACTTGCCATCCCTCCCCCAGTAGCCTTAATGAAAATATTTCTTTTCTGAATCTGTCATTGAAAAGTACCTTAATAACTCTCTGCTCTACCACTGTGTCCAACCACTCAATAAAAGCCTCCACGGTGGCATTTTTCTTAAGGAGATCCTTCAGTTCTTGGAACACTGTGATAGAGTCATCTATCATGAAAAAGAGAAAAGAAAACAGAATATTGTACTCCACTCTGAAACCAAAAGAAAATCTATAACCAGGAATAATTAATAATTGTATAGCATGGAAGGAAAAGATAGGTAGACTAAACTAAATGAGTGTAAGGAATTAGCTGCATATTCTGTGAATAATAATAACAAAAAAAACTTTAGTTCTTTACCATTCAAAATTTCCATCATAAGTGCATGAATCTTGGCATGTACAGAAATATAGATCTATATATTATTACAGGTATATATTAGGCAAGAATATTGAAGCTGTCAATATAGTTGAATGTTCATTTTGAATCTACTGCTTTCATTAAATGGAAAAGATTGGTTACAAGGTAATAAATAAACTAAGCTAAGCTTTTTCTTTCCTGCTTTCTGAAACGTCATTTGATTTCAACAGGAATTAAATTCTGCACTGCAGAACTGTGCCACTTACATGAATAATCTTTTATCATGTGAAATGTTAAGGACCAATTTAGAACTATCATTTTATTAAAGTCTTTGAGGGTTATTGAATCAGGGTGATATAATTTTATGTTAGGAAACAGAAAGTAGAGTTGGGGTTGGACTGTCGAATGACAGCAGTCCATTATTTGTGCTACAGCCTATAAGAGGCTGCAGTTTTTCAGAAGGGAGGGAAAAATTTTTTAAAAATAATGCTGTTGAATTGATTCCGATTCATGGTGACCCCATGTACCTCTGAGCAGAGCTGTGTGTCATATGGTTTTCAGTGGCTGATTTTTTGGGAATTGATCACCATTCCTTTCCTTTGAGGACCCTCTTGGTGGACTCCAATTGAACCAACCTTTCGGTGAGGGAGCCAAGCATTAGCCTTTGTGCTGCCCAGGGACTCCAAGGGAGAAATAGTGGCATAGTATCCCTTTGAATCAAGCCTAGTTGTCTAATCACATGTATTGGTTTGCTAAGTTATATCAGATAGTCCAAACCTAAGCAGAGAGACTCTGCTTTGAAAAACACTATTGTGTTGAGATATAATTTTAATGTGCATCATACATCGTATGATACTAACAGTGTAAAACACATATACCAACCAGCAACCTATTGCCATGGAGTCCGTATCGACTCACAGAGACCCAATAGGACAGAGTAGAACTGCCTCATAGGGTTCCCAAGGCTGTAATCTTCATGGAAGTCTCATCTTTCTCCCATGGAGCAGGGGGTAGGTTCAAACTGCTGACCTTTCAGTTAGCAGCCGAGCACTTAACCACTGTGCACCAGAACTCCTTAAAACACATATGAATGTGCATATATGGAATACAAAACTGGAAGGAAAGTGACAAAGCTCAAAGCTTTGGTTATTTCTAGGCAATGAGATTATGGATGGCTTTTATTTTCCTCTTAATATTTCACTATTTCCCAGGTTTTCACAGGAAATAGACTATTTTAAGAGAACAATTCTATTTTATTAAAAATGTTTCTATAAACTGGGTGTGCTCAAACAGGAGCAATTTTGTGTCCCAGGCAGGTATTTGGCAGTGTCTGGAAGGTTGGGCAATCCTACTTCCATAGTGATACTGCCTCGGAAACCCAAGGAGGGGTCGCTATGAGTCGGGGCTGACTCGATGGCAAATAACAACAACAATGAAGAAGTTTTGGTCGTAACAGCTGAAGGGGGACTGCTATTGGCATTTGAAGGGTAGAAGACAGGGATGCTACGAAGCATTGTATAACGTACAGGACAACCCAGTAGAGTCCCTAGGAGGCTGTGGGAAGTGCAGACTCTACCAGCCGACACAGTCAGAGGGGTAGCACCAAGATGACTATAAAATATTTGTGCAGTGTTTCATCAGAAATTTATTAATTTTTATAAAACATCCCTGTAGTTAGTTATAACAACAAAAGCATTTTTTTCATAAGCCCAGCTTAGCTGTACCAATATGCCTCCAAGGCTAAAACTCTATGCTAATTTACTTTTTGAACCTTAATGTGCTCTGGTCAGAGCTGTCATTATTACCCAATTACAATGATGCTTCAAATCACATGGTTTCATCTGCACAGACTTCCAAGTACACACTGTTGTCTTCGTTGTTGCTAGTGTTTTATAGTCACTGATTTTGTCAAAG